GGCGGGCGGCCGAGGAGCCGCGGAGCCGGGAGCCGGGGACCTCAGACAGCGCAAGGGCGGGGCGTTGCACGCAGGGCGAGGGGAGCGGCGCTCCGCCCCATCTCCCCACTTTGCGGGACAGCCCCCCTCGCTCACTCCCGCCCCCGCCTTGAATCACCGCGGGGGGGGGGCGAGGGGGCGGGGCCGTGACCCATTCAAGCCGGGAATCGGATCCAGATGTTCCCGCGGCGCGTGCAGCTGCATCCTTGCCTTTTTTGGCAAAAAACGTGTGGCCACAAGCGGATCCCGGGCCGCCTCCGCTAATCCTGGGGAAGAGGGGGAAGGGGCCTGAGGGTCCCGGCTCAGCCTGGGGATCTGTAGTGCACGCTCGGCGCGATTTGGGAAGGGCTGTTCGGGGGAGGGCGGCGATTTGCTCCGGGCTGGGAACCCTTTGCCACCACAGCTCCGGCCCGGAACCGCTCCCAAACCCCTCCCTCCCCATTAGGAGGAAAATCCCATCCGCCAGCAGCGGGGAGGCAGGCTAGGCTGGAGAAGGTCCACAGCAGTGGCCGGGGATCCCCTTCCTCCAGAGACTCCACTTGCGGTGTCCCGAAGCTCCCTCCTCTTCCTTGCATGGGAAAATCTGTGCGAGCTCCAGAACTTCCATCTTCGAAGGCACCTTCCTTCCCTTCCACCCCAGAAAAACACACAGAGGCCTGAACTTCCTCACACTGCTTTATTGCAGAATCTGCAAGGGGATGAGCCAATCCCACCGCTCTGCCCATCTCTGGGCAAAATGGAACTAAACTGAAGGAGAAAACACTGCAGACACGGGCTGGGCAGAGCCTTGTATCCTAGGACTGACTCCTCAGCCGGTGAACCTCTGATCTGACGCCCAGGCAGCTCCAGCCCTGGGGACAGGGTGGGGTAGGGAGGGTCAAGTCTGAGTATAGTCCATTTTTGAGAACTTTTCAGGCACCCACAGGAGACCTAAAGTTTCCAGAGTTTAGAGTTGAAGGGCCAGAGTTCAGGCTTGAAGGTTGGGGTCTAAAACCCTGCATTGGGGAGGGGGCTTGATTTGGCAATTGAGGGAGGGGAGTTCTGGATTCCAGGTTTGGGAGGGGATCTGAATTATGGAGGTTCCGTAAAAACAGGTTTGGGCATCCTGGGTCAGGAAGTGCCAGTTCGGAGTGGGGAGGCTGAGTCCAGAGCCTAGGAGCTGAGTCCCAGAGGTGATCTGGAAAAGGAGTCTTTGTCCTAGAGGCCTGGTTTGGGAGGGCCTGGGCCCAGGGCCCTTCTCAGGGCCCTGCCTGACTGCAGCCCTGGCATAGCACTTGGTCTCCATCTGGCACGAAGCCTTGGCCCACCAGGGAGGTGGAGCAGCGGGCGCAAGAGAAGCAGCTGTGGTGCCAGTGGCGGTCTTCAAAGGACACATACTTGCCTCCACCGAGTCCTGGAGGGAGGCTGGAGGTTAGCTCGATGGACCTAGAGGCGGCCCTGCCCCTTGGCCTCTCCCAACACCAGGCCCGTCCCTCCCCTGCACCCTACCCACACTGTTCTTTGACCCTCATATCCCACCTGTGATGGGGCGTTTGCAGCTGCTGCATTTGGGTGCAAAGAGTTCTCCAAAACAGGCCACGCAGTAGGGATCTTCATCCCGGGAGGTGAACTGCTGCCCCGCCAGGGGCGTCTGGCATCCAGTGCAGACCAGACACTCTCGATGCCAAGGCTGGTCTCGGTATGTCACGCCACCCTGTGTCAGCGTCTATGGGGGCAACATCTGTCAGCAGAGGGGAGTGAGGTTTCCCACCCTAAACAGAACCTAAGCCCCGACCCATGAGAGCGGTGGAAATGGGCACCCCCTCCCCACTGGCCCAGCCCCCACCTTGCTGCAGCGGGCGCAGCGAGGAGCAAACTTGTTCTCATAGCAGGGCACGCAGTAGTGGGCACCCTTGTCGGGCACAAAGGACCGGGAGCCCAGCGGCTGCTCACAGCCGCTGCACAGGAAGCAGTGCTCATGCCACGTCTGGCCTCCATACTCCAGCTTCCGGGACCCTGCGGGGAACAGGGGTCCCACTCAGAGGCTCTGTTCCCAAGCTTCTGAGGGCCACCCTCTGCTGCCCCCCAAAGGAAGGCCCCCCGCTCCCATCGCCTGAGCAGGGTGGTGTCCAGGCACATGCAGTTAGGAGCCCCATATACACTGCACAAGCTGACCTTCCCCCAACACTGGACATGCTGGGCCCCGTAAATGAGACACGAGGATTTGACGTTTGTTAAGTGCCCCTAAGAAGCAGATGCAAGCATCTCAGCACACACCAGGCCTCTGTGCCTTGCGCATGATGTCTCAGGCGCTAAGCCCTTATACACCAGGCATGATGGTTTTAGTGCACACAAGAGACCCCATAGATACCCAGCAACAAGTCCCTGCCCACACAAAGTTCCCAATGCCCCGAACACGAGGGATTCTGGATAAGCCAAGCCCCTGCCTATCCCAGACATGCCATTCTCTACGTGTTCTAGTCTGCGTATCAGTGAGGGCTGTCATACATATGAAGCCCTGTGTATCTGTGTCTGCACTCACCAAGCCCCAGACCCCAGCACGACAGTCTCGGCCTGCTCTTAGCTCCTGCACATACCAAACATGCAGGTCTTCAGACAGATTAAGGTGTGTCTGTCTGCCCGCACATGATAAGCCCCCAGATGTATACCAGACCAGCTGGTTCAGCACTCAATCCTCAGGAAGGTGCCAAGCTTGTCAGTTTCTGCACATGCTAAGATTTCACGTGTGTGCGCCTGGGTGAGCTGTTCCCTGTGCATGCACAGCTCCCGTGAGCACAGAGCTGTGTCAGATCCTGCATACATAGATTTTTCAGAAACATGCTGGGAGTGCAGGTCTTAACCAGACCAGGTCTCCATGGATGGGCCAGAGAGGCGTGCGAGTCACGTGCACATGCAAGAACCTTTCCCAGGTGCCAGATGTGCCAGTCCTACACATGATGAGCTCCCGGGGACATACCAGGCATGACAGTCTCCCCACAGGCTGAGCACTGCGAAGAGAAGGCGCTGCAGTAGCAATCATTGCAGAGCAGCTCGCTGTCCTGGCAGGTGAAGGGCTCATCGGCGAGAGAGCGCTGGCAGCGGCAGCAGCGGAAGCAGCCCTCATGGAAGTGGCGGTCTTCATAGAACAGTTCCTGCAGGAAGCATGGCAGGGGCGCTGGTACCTGCCTCCCCTCCTGGCAGCCTCTACCCACTCCCTGCCCAGTCGGGACCAGTCCTTACCCTTGAGTCATGCCCAATAAGCTGCTGGCACTCGGCGCAGGTATTGGCAAAGGTGTTGTCATAGCAGGGCACGCAGTGGGGACCGCTGTCCGTCTGGATGTATTTGCGGCCGTACAGGGACTCGTTACATTTTGCACAGTCAAAGGCCTCGCTCATGGTGGCTATGAGTCCTGTGAGGGGCACCAGGTGGGGTAGGCTCACCTAGAGGGGCTGTGGCTTAATGCTGTGTTCGAGATCTTTGCATTAAAGAAAAGCAAGAGACCGAGTAGGAAATGCCAGGTCAGAGGAGGTGGGGATGGGGAAGGGGCACTTTGAGAACCCAAGAATCCAACATGTCTATTCCTGTGTTGAGGGTGGGGGTGGGAGGGGGGTGTGTTAAGAAAAAATCAGGAAGCAGAAGTTGTTTTCTTATCTGGGTCCTGGCAGATCTGGGGGGAGAGGGCTTTTCCTGGGTCAGTGACTCATTTCCTGCCCCAGCCTGAGTTTAGCCTTCACTGTCCCTACTGTCCCCAAGGGAGCAAAAACAGGAGCAGGGAGCCCCCCACTTAATCCCGGGTGCACAGCACCCCCACACTCTCCTGGAAGGAATTCCCAGCGAGGGGACCCTAGGGATAGGGGTAAGATAGCCTCTACCCAGAGCTCTGCAGTGAGGAGCTTGGGATGAGAATGGACCCCTCCTTCCCCCTTCCTGCTCCAGGAAACACGAGGAGTGCTCAGGGGAGGCCAGGCAGATGAATGGTGGAAGAGGCTGGTGTCTCACATCAGGTCTCCCCTCCCAGGACAATCGGCCCAGCAACTACTTCAGAGGCTGAGCCTGGGTTTGAGCAGGAAGGAAATCCTACAAGCGGGACACAGCCAAGCTTCCCCAGATCACCCTCTGCGCCCCCCACTGCCTTCCGCAGTGTCTCTGGTCACACCGGCTGGGCAGCCTTGGTCTGTGACATCTGCAGCAGCTGTGGTGGTACAGATGGCCAGATGTCAGGTTCTGCCAGCAACAGGGGCAGAAAATGGGAAATGAGATGCCTGGGGAGCAGAGGGGAGCCGGAAATGGAGAGCATGCACCCCCCTGCCATCGCAGGGAGTCTGGAGCAGCCCCAGATTCTTCCCATCCCGGAGGCCACAATTTCCTTCCCCTCCGCCTGCCTCTCAGCTCTTCTCATCTCTTCTGATTCCTAAGGGTTTGGGGCAGGGGGAGTGAAAGGCAAGGGGGTGGGAGCCACTGAAGACCTTTTCTCCCCAGTCAGTACCCCTCTTGGGTGGGGAGTCAGGCCAGGGGGAGCCCTGAGAGCTGTTGCTGCAGACACCCAGCCCCCACCAAACCTCAGACACTTTCCATTTTCTCAGGAACAAAGCATGTTTGCGGGATGAGGTCATCCACACAGCTGCCTCTGGAACAGGAGCTTGGGGAGCGGGAGGGTAGGGAAGTGGGGTTCCCAGTCCCTTCTCTTACCCCATTCTGATCTCTAGGCCCATTCAGCTCTCCCCACCCCCCAGACACCTCCACCCAGAGACCGCTCTTTGAGGGTTGGGATCCTGGGTGGGTGGAGAGGAACCACCAGGACCCAGAGGAAGGAGATGGTCTCACAGCTGCAGATGAACCTGGGGAGTACAAAGGGTCCCCCCCTTCCCACTACCATCATCAGACCCCAGTAACTGGCCGTCCCCAGAGTCTGCCTTGGCTCAACTTGAAGGAAAAGCCCTACTTTTCTCGGCCACCCCCAGCGGGAAATTCTCGCCAACCAGCACTGCTCTGTTGTGGAGTTCAGACTCCAGGCGCCAGCAGACGCCCTCAGCTTGGAGGGCCCGGCTCCTCTGAAGGCATTGGTGGTGAGCTCACAGCTTCCCTTCTGCAGTGGGGGGGCACCCATATCCCAGAAGCTGGGGTCTCAGAACAAGACCTCTTACTCAGCCCCCTCCCTACAACTCAGGTCTGAGTTTCTTCTGGCCTGGCCCAGCAAAACATCGAGGTTGCTTGGGCAGTCGGCCACTGGACAGCAGGGGGCCACACCAGCTGTGAGTGGCCATGTGTGGAGCAGGAGTGCCCTGGGCCTTTCCCTTCCTGGCTTGGCTGGCAGCAGCAACCACCTTCCCAGGCCCAGGCTAGCCCTGGGCTCCTCCCTCCCCCCTAGGAGTCACCATTCTGAGGAGTACCCCAAATAGGGTATGGGCGTGGCTTCTGTTGCCTTCCCAGAATCCCCTAGTCGTCCCCATCTGTCCAGCTGGGCACTAGTGAGGTCAGAGTGAAGGGCACTATTGAAGGTCCACCTGTCCCTGCCCATCCTACCCCCTCCCTGCCCTTTTCCCTGGCAGGGCTGGGGGAATGAAGGGAGCCAGCCTTGTATTCCTCTATGACTGATGTGTGTGTGGGGACATCTGGGTGCAGGGGAGACTGCCCATCTGCCAGATGGCTCTCAGATCACCTCCATCAACACACACACACCTCTGCCCCCTATGTGGTACCTCCCAGGAATGACTGGTGTGTGGGTGTGGAGTCTCCAGCTGTGAAGCATAACCCTGGGATTGAACCCTTGCCCCTTCACTTACTAAATGGGTGATCTTGGGCAGTCACTTTGGTCCCCGGAACCTGTCTTCCCATCTACTATCCCCAGCCTCCTTGGGAGGTCGTCAGCCTGCAGTGTGAGGACACCTGGAAAGCAGCTTAAGTAGTCAGTAAACAGCAGCTATTAGTGTTTTTATTCTCAGCCCCTCCCTCATCCTGGGGTCAGAGAAGTTTCAAGGCAGGCCTGGGTCAGAGAACTGGCGTAGGATCTGACTTAGCCCTAGGATCTGACTTAGCCGTCTCAGAGCACACCCAGGGTGAGAACGAGGGCACCCTCTAGTTCTACTGGGAGAACTTCAGAGGTCCAGGCGATGGGGCTCACCAGGATCAGCCTTACCCTAGCCACAGCCTTGAGACCCCTCCCACGGGTACTGGGGAGGACATCCAGTCCCTGGGCAGGTGAGGGGCCCTGGAGGTTAAGCCCTGGAGCTTTGCCTCATGGTGGCTCAACTCTGTGATCAACTCTGTGATCAACTCTGTGAGGACTACAGAGACTGTCTGAGACTGAGATTCTCAGGCAGAGACACAGAGCAGAGAAGCATGGGGGCCAGCACGTTCTGCTCTGCAGAGGTGCCAAGATCCAGACCTGGGTGTAGAAACCCAGGGTCTCCCCCAGGAGAGAATGAAAGATCTAGAGACACCAAAAACATAAAGACGGCTGCTGAAACATATAGACGTTCTGCCTCTCATAAAGTGATCTCCTACCATCTTGGATCTGACAAAAGGCAAACAGGCTAGGTAGTGACCCATTTTACAGCTGAGTCCAGGAGCTAGGGGCAGGGCAGGGCATGCCCAAGGTCACTTGGGGATGAGTGAACCCAGGTTCCCTGCCTCCTGGCCCAGACCCCCTTCTTTGTTCTCACCAGAAATGCTGCAGTGGTGAAGGGTGGTCCACATACGAATGCAGGGGGCCGGGAGATGCTGTGTGACACCCAGCCCAGGAGCCCGGCCTGTCTCCCCCACTGCCAGTCCTGTGATGGGAGATACCCAGAAGCCTTTCCAATTACCCATGCCAACCACTCAACCCCTTTGTCCCTCCCCCACCCCAAGGGGGATCCTAGCCAGGCCCCACAGCTGTGAGTCAGGATCACAACAGACCCCTCCTCCAGCTCCCAGGAGTTGACAGGAGATTTAAGGAGAGAAATGGAAATCCACCACCCCACCTCCCTGCTACCAGGCACCAACCCCAAACTCTAAACTCTTTTGTTACGTCCCCCCCCCCCCCAAAGCCTGGGAGTCAGAGCTGTTTAGGGGAAGAGAGAAGTGGAAAGCTGGATCCAGCAGCTGCTCTGGGGACAGTAGAGGAACAGTTCATTCACCCGGGTCCCCCAGGGCTGTGGCAGTGCGGCCAAGATTTGAGTTTAAAAATAAGTTGGGGCTGTCTTGGTGTATGCCTGGGGCTCCCTCTTGATCTCAATCTTACTGTCTCAGGTCCTCTGTCTCATGGGGCTGAGCTGGCGCAAAGTTTCTCTTTCCCTGCATGCTTGCTTCCCAGTCTTCTGGGCCTGTATCTCCCAAGGTCTGTCTTGGAAGCTGTCAATGAGCCTCATGAAAGCTCAGTCTCTGGGTGTCCAGCTTGGCTCCACACAGCACCACTCTGTGTGTCTGTAAGTTGCAGCAACTGTCTTTATGTTTTGGGTGTCTCTCATTCTGTCCAGGGGGTGGGGGGAGACCCTAGATTTCCACCTCTCAACACCCAAGTGTGGGTCTCAGCACCTCTGCAGAGCAGAACGTGCTGGCCACCACGCGTCCCTCCTCTGAGTCTCTCTGCCTGAGAGTCGGTCTCAGACAGTCTCTACAGGCCTCACAGAGTTGGGTCTCCACGAGGCTAAGGGGGCTTAGGCGCCAGGGTCCCTCACCTGCCCCGGGAAGGGCCCGACAGCGTGGTCACTGGGGTCACTGCCAACTTTTTCAAGCACTGCTTCACACGCCTCGGGTTCGTCCCTGCGCCTCGGGCTTGTCTCTCCGTGACTCTACGCCCCAGTCTGCTTCGGGGACCTCCGCAGCCTCCAGTCTGCGCCGGTCGCTGGTGCCGGTTCTCGCTAACCGGGTTTTCTGG